GAGTTAACCAAGGGGAAAATTTCACTTGTGGTCAGTTGACTTGTGAGTTTGTTTTACATTGGTCCCTCAACATCGTTTTATTTCAAGTTGCCCTGCCCTTTTTTTCCTTTTATTTCCCCCTATAAATTTCAATATTACATTCATAATCGTGACCAAAATTAAGTCTCTGTTCATAATGTAATTAAAAATAATTATTAAATTTAACTTATATTTTTACCAATTATTTAGTTAAATTAAGGCCCTGTTTCACAGCCATTATTTGGAAAAATAAAGTTCTGAATAATGAATTTTTAGAGAATGTATGATTAAAAAGTAAAGAAAAGTTTTAGGTTTATTTACAAAATATTTTATTGTGTGAATGTTGATGAAAATAAGTATATAAAAAAAAAGAATAATTTTTGGATAATGATTGTCAAACAAGGGCTAACACATGGCAAAATACTAACCCACCCGACTTACAAAGTATTATCCTGCTTTGATAGGTTTTGGAAATAAGCTTTGAAAACAAGTGCTGCGTGGCAACATCTGTTTGGTTCTTTTTCTTTCTTTATTCTTCCAACTATCCAACCTCCACTTGACACGTATCACTTGGATTTAAACCCGGGATCCAAACCCTGCTTTTGTAGCATTGTTTACTTACAAAATCTGTGTTCGAAGGCTCGTTTGATGCTAAATCAATAGTTCATTTACCCGACAAATTAAAAGGAGATCATGCGGAAGTAATTTTAAAGCATTTTATTTAATCATTTGTATTTTCAATATTAGCAAAAATAAAGAATTAACGTCAGTTAGCGTCAAGACATGCAATACATACAAACATAAAAATGTTTGTTACAATTGCCTTAATGTACTCATTCAAGTTTTCTTTGACAACGATAATTATCGTTTCAATATCAAACAATTATCACAAGGGGACCAGATGGTCGAATGAACTTTTTATTCAAGTTTAATGATTTCATTAATTATATAGTTTATTATAATTATTTAATTCAGAGTATTATATTTTATTAAATCCCTTCGAATTCCATATTCAAAGTTACAATATTGTAACTCAAAATGCAAGATTAGTTGTTAGGGTTGCAAATCGTATTTTATTGATCCCTTTGCATTCCATATGCAAAATTGCAATATTAAATCAGTCAAAGCACAAGATTGAGCGTCGATATTCCAGATAGAATGTTCAAATAAAGAATATATCAAATTGAAGAAATTGAAGTTGAGCTACCAACATGAACATATCTTTAAGTTGGATGACTTCTAACGATGTTTGTTGAGAACTTGAGACAATGCATATAAGTTGGCGATGGATAATGGGGGACTTGTTTAGGCATTTGGGAAACGATCGAGTGCAATGCAGAGCTTTTTCCAAGCTCATCACTAAGTATTTAGGAAATTGATGTTTGTACATCCGAACTCATCACAACTTGGATGACAGCCCCCTCACTACAGGGGGGCCATCAAATTTATTTTTATTATTTTTTTATTTTTTTGAGCTCGAGGCCCCCCCTTTACATGTAAGGAGGTTGTAGCAAACTGTACATGTATCTCAATCCAAGGATTTAGCTCTTCATCCAGGGTCACATGGGCCTTGGATTTCAATAGGCACCTCGCTATTGGAAATGGATTGCTCCCAGTCTCGCAGTTCTCACTACTAGAGAAAGGGGTGGAATTTGATTGGTTAAACAGTGTGCTATATGATGTGATGGAACCTACCGCGAAACTTTTTACCATATCACCTTCTCAGTACTAGCACTAGTATAATAGCTATTCTTAACCCATGTTTGGTTTTCATTATTTTCTCATTAAAATGAAAAATATGACCGTTATTCATCAAGTCAAGCCACCAAATGTGAATTTCTATCTCTTATGTGGGGCCCGTAACGACTACATTTTCATTCTCATTCTTCCAAAAATGAAAAATAAATGGGGGCTAAATAATAAGAAGTTTGATTTAATAAATATTGTGACATTTTATTTAGATGAAAATCAATGATATTTATAGTCACAAGTAACCATCCTATGTAGCACGAGAGAAATTTATGGGCCAACTATTCGAGAAGTATACTAAGCCACTATTTTACTACCATTTTTATGAATTATTTTTCCTCAAACTCATGTTCAATCATACATTCATAATAAAAATATTATGCACGTAAGTTTAAAACTTTTTCATACTTTTAATCATACATTTTTCAAAAAATCACTATTTCAAAATCAATTTTTCCCTAAATTTTCTTTTTAATGGTTATAAACAAGGGCTAACTACATTAAAGGTCCATCCGAATTTGGTTTTACAAGCCCATAGTCTTATTACAAACATTTATTAATTAAGTGGCTTGATTTTAAAGATCATTGTACTAAAATTAGGAATAAGATTAAATTATCACAAATCAGGTGATAAACCAATGTTTTAATAGTAAATAATAATACTCCATCCATACCCATAGTGGTATCCCTATGATTTCAATTTCAATCCCTAAATCATTTCTTCTCATCTATCCTCTCAATACTCCATACTCCTCTCTCTCTCTACCAAATCCATACTTTCAGCACCACTACAGAGGCGGTGCCAATGAGTTATTCACCATTATAGAGCCGCTACAGGCGATGTTCGAGCTTTTAGGGCCAATTGAAGTGGCATTAGGCTGGTTAGCCACTTAGGCTTCACTGGCAACAGGGGTTGAGTTTGTGTTTGATTGTCTAGGCGTTTGAGTTTGGGTTTCATCCGTAAGTAGAATGGTGAGGGTGTGAATGGTAGAAGAGGAGGTGGCGACCTGCCCAACTATTTGAGTTTTTGTAGTGGGTGGAATTATGGGCATGGTATTGGAGGTAGGTTTGGTTGCTTGCCTATCCGCTTGAGTTTCAATAGTAGGTAGAGTTGTGGAAATCGTGTCGGTAGTAGGGTTGGTTGCCTTTTCATCTGTTTGAGTTTCAGGAATAGGGAGAGTTGTCAAGATGGGAGTAATGGTGGTGATCTGGCTAACCGATTGAGTTTCAGCTGTAGATGGAGTTGTGGATGCCGGGATTTTTGCATTCCTAGCCGATAGAGTTTCTATAACCAAATCTATTGAATCCATGACCTATCAAATTACGAGTGCCACTGGTCATAAATTTAAGAGATTGGGTCACAGGCCATTAGATTAGGTCACATATCACAAATCCAAGATATTTGGTCACCTACCATTCGATCAGGTCACAATCACGATCACATACAATAGAGCACATGTCAAAGTACATAAGTCATAGATTCAATAGATTTGATCACAGACCCGGGAGATTAATTCACAATCAAATCATAAGTCACATGTTAAGAGCATAAAATTATAGGTCATGGATCCAAGAAATTTGGTCACAGACCATTCGCTTAGGTCACATATCACAGATCCAAGAGATTTAGTCATTGTCCATTTGATCAGGTTACAGACATATGTGCATAGGTCACAAATTCAAGAATTTTGGTCACATGCATTTTAAATTATACCAGCACTGCTGAGTCGTAGATGAAGATGATCAGTTGCCGACGATGCTGAGTCGGTATTATCCAATGATCGCTATGTTTCTTCCTCTATCTCTATTATTTGAGCGGACGATGCTTATTCGTTGTTGCGTGATGAACTGGCCGCCGATGCTCAGTTAGTATTCTCTAACGGCCACTATATTTCTCCGTCTACCTCTACTATCTCAGTCGGCAATGCTCATTTGCCATTGAAGAAGTTGACGAAGGGGGATATCGACAGGTGGGTGCCAACAATTATAAGAAGGGATTGTGGAGGGCGGGTGCACAAGGGTGAGGTAGATAGATTAATTTAATTTAATAATATTATTATTTAAAATTAAAACAGAATTGGCACATGACACTTACATTTTAAAACTCACACCCTGTTTGTTTTCTATTAATGTAAGAATGAGAATGAAAAATATAGTCGTTACGAACCCCATACAAGATATAGAAATTCAAATATGGTGACTTGTGTTAATGTAATAAGTTAATTAGGTTAAGGGTAGTTTAGTCTTATTGTGTTTCCTTAGTTTTGTACTATATAAACCATTGTAATCTTACATTATGTACCCAAGTTTGGAGGCTGCTATCAATCAGTTTTCTCTCTTTCTCCTCCATTCTTCATCTTTGGTTTGTTGTTTTCTACATGGTATCAGAGCAGGTTTAATCTTGGATTAAACTTTTGAGAATTTTACTGTTGTGGTAAGTGCTGCTATGGTTCTTGGTGATAGAATTGAGAGTGATATTGGTGATGAGAATAAGGAGAATGTTCTGTTTGTTGCTTGATGAGTTAAAGGTGGTTTGAATTTCTGATCTCAACTACTTCAGGTGACCAGGGTTCTGATTTTTTATTTCAACAGGTTCGATTTTCTTTCTTTGGTGTTAGTGTTTGGTTGGTCACCGTTGGGGTTGTTTGGAATTTGGATTGTGTTTTCCAACTCAGTTTGGCAAGGCAGGTTACTGGTCAGATTGGTTTTCTGAACATTTGAGGTTTGGTCTTCTTCTTCGATTCAAGTTGGATTCTTATGGGACTGTGCTTAGGTTCGGCCATAATTTTGGAAGCTTTTGGTCAGATTTGAACTTCAGTTCAGTTGGTGGCCGATCATGGTTTGACAGCAGTGTTTCGGAATCGACTTGGGCTGTATCAGTAAAGTTTTACTGATGGGTTGTTGTGATGAATGCTGGTCGGCTAGTGGTTGACGTTTGTTTATGGTTGAGTATTGTTGTTGTAGGAGATTGGTAATGTTGGATGTGTGTTGGTGTCGACGAGAGTCAGTCGCAGCCGCAGCGCTGGAGAAGATGAAGTTGGAGGAAATTGGGCCAAGTTTGGTTTCGTGGGTTATAGGCTGTAGATTGGTTTTGGGTCTTGGAGTATGTTGAAATTGGGCCAGTTGGTTCAAGTTGGCTTGGATTTGTTGTGTTGGGCCTGCTGGGTTAGTTTTTTTTAGTTGGACTAGTACTTTAATTTTTGAGTAAGTGGGTTTGAAATGTTTGATGGGTCTGCTGAATTAGGCTTAAGTTGTGGGCTGTGGATTGCCAGTAGTTTGGTAATGTTGGATTTGGGCCTTATATTTTGGGATTTCAATTTGTGCATTTGAGTTTAAAAAAAAAAAAAAAAAAGGGTTGGACTCTAATTAGATAGGCCTGCTGGAGAAGTCTCTTCGAAAAAAAAGCAGATTAATTGGAGTTTTCCACATTATGGCATTATGGAAGATGATTATGTATGGGCTGATTTTGGGTAATATTTGTTGCATATTGTTGGGCCTTGTTTGATGAGTTGCTGAAGATGGGGATGTGTTGTTAGTTGTGGGTGCCTTAAATTTGGCATTTGTTGAGCTTGAATTTGGTTTTGTACCCAGTTCGTGGGATTGAAAATTTGGTTTGGTGCTCAGTTCAGGATGTAAATTTCGTTTGATGCCCGGTTCACAGGATTTGGAAATTTCGTTTGTTTTTCCGGTTCACTGGATTAGAAATTTCGTTTGATATTTGTCCAGTCTATCTGGAGCTTGGAATTTGGCATAGTCAGTTCTTGGAATTGGTATAGCAAGTTCAATTTGGAATTTGAAATTTGCATCCGTTTGGTTTAGTTGAGATTATGTGGTTTTGTTGGTTATCTGCAGTTCGGCATCATTTTCCTACCTTTCGTTGCTCTCCATTGCTGCAGCTTGTAGATTTTGCCACGAAGTCAAATTTGATTTATCATTTACGCTTTTTGTTGGTCAAACTCTCGTTGCTCCTTGTCGTAGCATCGTGAGTTTGAGGGGGATGTTAATGTAATAAGTTAATTAGGTTAAGGGTAGTTTAATCTTATTATGTTTCCTTAGTTTTGTACTATATAAACCATTGTAATCTTACATTATGCACCCAAGTTTGGAGGCTGCTATCAATCGATTTTCTCTCTTTCTCCTTCATTCTTCATCTTTGGTTTGTTGTTTTCTACAGCTTGATATGATAGATAACGGTCATATATTTTCATTTTAATAGCCAATTAATAGGAAACAAACAGGGGCTTAATGTTTGAAAATTAATTTGATGCATACTTAATAATTAATACTTGATTTATGATTTTTTTCGCATTAATTAATATCAATATTTGGAAAACCCACAACATTAGCATCGGCCAGTAAAGGATAAAGAGTTGAATGTTAAATTGGAATCAAACTGATTAAATAACATTAAAAATGGAAAAAAGTAAAATTTCAAAAGAGTTGGCTGATTTTTTTATTTTTTAATTATTATAAATGACTTTCATTTTCGATGAATTTCCAGTTTTTCTCGTCAAACTGATCAATCCGGTTGGACTTCCAAAACGAGTCATAAATTTCAATGCCAAAATCACTAAGCCTCATACCACATATGGTTTGGAGGCCGAGCCAGTAAGCGTGTAGCTATAAATTCTGATGCTGTAAGAATTTTAGGGTTTTGCCACGATAAACCATAAACCAAAATTTCATAGATTGAACATCTGTGACGATATTACACAACAATCCTTGATTGTCTGAAGCAAAATGCTTGGTCCAAAATCCCAAATAGAATTACCCGAGTACTTAGGGCCTGTTTGGGAGTTCACCCAAAAAATTGATTTTTTGACCGTTATTTCATTATTTCAGCCGTTATATTTGACTTCTTCTCTCATAGATGGACACACTTTTCTCCTAACGATCAAAAAATCAATTCTCAAAATCACTCCCAAATAGGCTTTTAGTTGGCCGATTTCCAAGTGCCTAGGACGTGGGAACCAAGAAATTTTTCATCAACACGCAAGAGTGGATTGGATATGTCTGAACATTATCAAGAAAGAAAAGAACGCTAGGACCATGCTCCTCTGTCACAAAATACATGACAGAAGGGCTAACTTACACACACATTTGGGGGTGGGACCACTTCTTCCTCCCAATTGTTTATTCATGCAGGGCCGGACGGTTGTGAGAGGGTGTCACGCCCTCTATCAGCCATTTTTCTAGCAGAGAAGCATTTTCCAGAACGCTAAGATCTTGTCTATTGCATTTTTTGGTCTGGTTAATCTAACAAAGCCAAGAGTTCGCCAAAATGTTAACAATCTTCAAGAACCAAACAGCCCCATTGATTGGATATGGTTCCATCTCCCAGTGGTGAGCAAACAACAGCCCCCCAATGAGCTAAGCTAGAGAGTAGATATCTCTACAATCATAATTGCACCTTATCTTGCAATCAACACAACCCAAATAGCTAATTTCAGTTCATTTTCCCTGGCCTTATAGTAATTGAATAATGTCCGCATGATATTTTACCATTTGTCAGTTTAAAATATAATCAACTTTTGCATCCAATCATTTCCCTTCACATCATTTTCGGTAAGCATTTACGTACCATCTTTATGTACAAGTAGTAAAATCCTAGTTACAAAACATTTTATTGCAATTGGACCATCAATTCTCACAAAAATCAAGAGAATTTTAAGGGCTTTAATCGGTTCATTTGCAAACCAATCTAGCAGAGACACCTAAACTAGTTTTCAGTCCAATTTTTCAAATTTCTTGTTGGTTAATATGGATTTAGGCTTTGTTTGAGCCACATTATTTGAAAAAAATACATTATTCAATAGTAATTTGACATCATTTCAACCACACATTCTTTAATAAAATAATATTACACGCAAATTCAAAATATTTTCTTATTTTTTAATCATGCATTTTTCAACAATGTACTATTCAAAAATGTATTTTCATTCTAATAATGTGGCTCAAAACAAGGGCTTAGTTACATAGCTCAAGATAAATAGTTAATAAAGCCAAACCAATACGGTGTAAATTTCATTCAACATTGGTCAGTGCAAAAATCCAACTACATCATGGAAACTTTGATTGTACCAATAGTAAAAGAAAAATATTGATTGCAACTGACACAGAATCGATACAAATTGCAATCACAACAATAAATGAAGTATCAAATCAAATTTGCTCATTTATGTAACAAGCCGATGGAGAACAGTGTTTCTTTGTGAGGATAGAATAACATTTGGCTCATCTTCACGTCCAATATTGCTGGAATTTTGCAATATCCCTCTGATTAATTAATCCGTTCTTGAGTTGGATTCATTTTCACCATCACTAGCCTTCAACCCTAAACTCAAGTCCAATGGTGTTACATTCAGATCTCTACTTTCCACATGATTTTCCTCTGGGGCCTGAAACATATGCATTCAACTGAAAATTTCATATATAAAGTGCATTCGAGCTCCTACACAAATAGCCATCTAGAGAGACTAATGAAATTAATGATCTAGTGAAGAAGGCAATAATGCTCATTTAACAATCAACAAGTACTCAATTTCTTTCCCAAAGACCACTTAGGTCAAAAATAAGGTCTTAAACCCGGATCTGGTGGTGAGTAAAGCAGATAAAATCCAAGAGAAGGAACACTTGTAAACTGAAAATTTTCCAACTCTGCTGACAATTTCTTAAAGAAAGAAGGAAAAACTGCTGATAAAAAGAGATTTGTCAACAAGCTAAGAACCTGTTTGGCTATGCTTAAAAAGTTTGTATAAATGAGTTCATTCTAAATTAATCGCAGTTTATTGGTTATCAGAAAATCTTTAGAAGGGATGACTGACTAGAAATAAAGGTAACCTGCCAGATTCACTCCGAGCCCTTGAGCGATCCCTTGTTTTCACTTGACTTTTACTCGGACTGTGATAGGAAAAACTGGTCTAAACACATACCCTTGACTAATGAATCCACATGTCTTTTATCCAAGAATCCCTGTTTTGAACTCTCCTTTCAATTGTGATGAAGATGGATAATCATCCTTCTCACCAGTAAACAGTTCATTTCCCGTTCATAAAGAAGGAGTCTAGCAGCGAGAGACTTATTTATTTCATCTTCATCGTCTCCGCTTTCGGCTTATTTATAAGGTAAGATTAACTTCCAAATATGTAACTGTTATTTTACTAAAAGTAAGAAAAAAATGACATTTCAAACATGTTTAGGAACACACTTTTGCATTTTTTTAAGCTTAGTGAAACATATCTAAGACTTGTTCCTAAAAAATTTGTGGTTGGCTCAAAGATAATTTGTCCTCTACATGAAAGTATACAGGATATTATGGGAATTGTCAGTTATAAGTACAGTGTGGTCACTGAAGGAAGATCCATCAAGAAATTGAAAACCCATGAATTGCAAAACACGCATGCGATCTGTAAGTTAATCACCTGAGTATCATCCATTGGTACATCATTGATATCAGGCTTTTCATCATGCCTATCAGTCTTGGATGTTGCTTCCACTGTATTTGAATCATTCGCAATTGGATTAGCTTCATCCTCTAACTGATCCGAGGACTCATTTGCTTGTTCTTCCAACACAGCAATCTATTTTGATCTCCAAAAACACAGGATGAAACATTACATAATAAGTGGAATCTATGTAATTGTCCTCCGCAGAATCACAATACAATAATACATTACATGGAACTTTAATGATTTTCTGAGGCTTCCTAAATACAGCTGGAGTATATTAGAACTTTGTATGTGTCCAATAACTACTGCATGGTATATATCTTAAAATATCAATTCTTAAAAATCTCACTATTCAACAATAAAAATTATACCAAGTCAAAGAAAATGGTAATGCCTTTGGATTTGTAAAATTCAAGCTGATCCATGAATATAATAATGATCCCCAACAGCAGAAATTCATTGAAGCGTACTGAAGTAGGGTCAGTGGGTAATGTTGGTCAGATATGTACAAACAATCTCGTAATTAGCTTCCAACTGCCTCTGGGCTAATTTAGCATGGAGATCAATAAAATCCAGTGCAGCACGAAAGATGAAAGATACAAAGAAAGATAGGAGAAAACAAAAGATAAGGAGATTACAAACAAATCATGAAGATGGGAAAATAATGACACACCCGAGAAGATCCCATTTAACATGAGCAAAATCTGATTAAGCCCTTGTTTGAGCCACATTATTTTCATAGAACTGAAATTTTGAATGGCGTATTGATGGAAAATATGTGGTTAAAAAATAAGAAAAAGTTTTAGATTTGCGTGTAATATTATTTTATGGAAGAATATGTGGTTGAAATGATATCAAATTACTGTTTAAGAATATATTTTTTTCAAATAATATGGATCAAACAGAGCCTAAACTAAAGGCGTCTAGAGAGTAATGGAAACCAAACACAATTGGGCATACATTCAGGTCTGAGCAATTGCCTGATGACATCAGATATTAGATTAACACATACAAATGTATTACACCACTTCTCTTCTTAAAGCGTACAAGTGGCATAGGCTTCAACATTAACTATATTCATTGCTTCTCTTATCATTATTTCTCTCTCACTTCGTTTCCCCCTTTTATTTATTTGAGCAGTTCTAGGTTTGTGCATTTGAAATAATTAAATAAGATCAAATTCAAAGAAGAGGTACATAAATGCAAACAAATCTCAGAACTGTTCATACATTCAAGGAAACATATTTATATGCCAGGTTCTATGAAAAAACATTGAAGGTAAAAAGATGAAGCATGTTCATATGCTCACCAAAAGGCATATTTTTAATGATCCTTCAACAATTCCAACGGTAATGACTTGAGATCAAGACAAATAAGCAAAAAAGTGTGCTTCCATATTGGATAAAGAAAATCCATTACGCAATGATGTCAAACATAAGTTGCAGTTTCACTGCTTCAATTAAAGTTGTTCCTTTTCTATAAATATTAAGTCAATATTTGATAGCCAAATGTCCAGAATGGCCCACTTGCTAATACAAACCAGGATAGACAACCACACTATATAAGCTTTCAGTAAAACGAAAAAACTCATTTTGTGCTTTTATGGAGTTGTGAAAGAGAATACCTTTCCCACTCGTTGTGGGGAAAGGGGATTGGTGG